AATAAGACGTATTTAATTTTCGCTGACGTATTAGAAAGTTTCAGTTTGGCCACTTTTTATACAATATTTTGAATCTGAAAAATAAACAAGGTATAATGCTATGAAGCACAGATTATGAAACAGTTCTTAGCAAAATAGCTATGTAATTAATTAAAAACTTTTTAAAAATTTTTTCATGGTAAGAATTTTTCTCATGTAATTCTCTCAAAATATTCAGAATTCTCAGAATATGAATCAATATTCTCTATAAAATTAATTTTACACTTTTTTCCTCTTCCCCCCCCCCCCCTCAAATATTTCTGGCTTTTCGCTGGTACAGAATTGGTAGGGGTAATTTTTCTTTAGGATTTTAGACATTGCAGCTTGGAAAGTTTAGAAGGATACACCCAGGATTCTGGAAGATTCCAGGAAAAATGTGATAAAATAAAAAATGTCTCCACGGTATTAGCACATTACGGATATATTTTACAGAAAGTTTGCGATGAATTTCTTACTCGTGGAGCACATCTGGAAGAACAATGAAAACGTAATATTTGAATGATTAACTTCGGATACTAAAATTGTTTTCTTTAACATGTTTGTCTTCCCTTTATTTTCTCTACCTTTCACTAGACACAAGCATGGAAAGTATCAAAAAGGCTTCTAATCTTATCACTTGGACAAGCATTATAGAAAGAAATTTTTTATTAGGAAAGAAATTGAAAACTGAAAATTCAAAAGATTCATCTAATATGTCTTAATGCATCATTCACAGGGCTGGTGCTAGGCATTTTCCCACATGATGCAAACTCTGTGTATCTTAAATTCTGTTGCCTAGTGCCTCTCTAAATTCTGCTTCTAGTGCCTGCTCTAAATTCTAAAAGTTTTGTTATTTCTAGATTTTGTTGCTCAGTGTGTCACTAAATAGTAAAAATTCTGTTGCATCAGCTCTGTAACCATCTCTTACCATATATATTTCATATTTCTTCTGAATGTTCATATTACTAAAGAAATAAAATTAGCAGAATTTTTGCAGATTTTTTTTTTTACTTTGATTTCATTTCTCAGTTTTTCAACTTGAATTCTGATTTTTGTGAAACTTTGCCATATCATGAACAGACCTTACCTTTTGACTTGATAGGCTATTGAGAAGAGAATCTCCAAGTACCGTGCTGCTGGATGGTGTCACTGGAGTTTCATAATTTTTTCACATCAGTTTTGAGTACTATTTAGTCCTAAATGAAAAATTTAATGCCAGTGCCATAAGGCACATTTTCCCTGATCATGCACTAAAGCAGAAATGCTGTGTGCTCATTCCATTTGTCCAAACTAAGTCAAGTTTATCGACACCAGCAGTGTATATATTAGTTATATCATTTTCATTGTATTTAAAAGTACTTTGATAAATACAGAGGCTGTTTGCACATTTTTTAGACGATTTTCATTGTAATTACAGAAATATTTTACCTAAAATTTTTATGTTTTAAATGTTCTATCTGATAACCCTTAGTTTTCACTATCTTTATGCACTGTAATTTCCTTTTGTAGTGTCAGAAGAGGAAGTTTATCCCATTGCTCTCAAACAGCTTTCCAAAGTAGGTCAATGTTTGGGCAACCTGCTTTTTAAAAGTCCAATAGCACAAAAATACATTGGTGATTGATCAGGAGATTTATTATCTCTCTCTATTATCTTTATAACAGCCTCTGTAAAAGCTTTCCTTCCCTATTCAGGATATTTCCAGTGTTAAAGTATAAAAAATTTAAAAAGAAAATGAGTCAGAGAGCATAAAATGTATAATATGTAATTAAATTTAAATATATGTTACGCCATAGTCACTTTGTAAATAGTTCAAATCATATTCAGTGAATTTAAACCACTGAATATGATTTGAGTTTGAAATGGTGTTTGAAATGGTGTAGCCATGCTATGTGAAAAATTTCCTGAAAACTGTTTTCCCATGAGATCTTTCCATCTTACGAATATGAGGGAAGGGTATGAGCCTTGTTACCTATTTCTTGATCCATTTTTTCCATTAACTATTTGCGGCACAGAGTCAACTTTTGAAGCCACATGTTTAGATTTTTTTTTCTCAATTGTGAAATGGTTTTACTGTGTTCATATTTTTAACACTCAAAAGAACCAACAGATGGCAACACAAAACAGAGCCTTTTTTCTGTGTCGATTTATAAGTGCTTAAACTTTGAACAAACAAAGAGAAAAAATTAACAAAGAGAAAAAATTTCATTTTTTCATTTCTCTAAAAATGAAATTTTTTCTCTAACTCCATAAAAATTGCGTCTGGTTCCCCAAGTATAACATATGAATTTTTTATTTACGTACTCTTTTTATTTGTGAAAACACTAATCTCAGGAGAAATCAGTAATAAATTTTGTATTTTTTCTATAATTCAACATGTGGTTTTCTACTGAAACCACCGCCCTCTTAGAGCTAAAACATTCCTGTGTATTTTCTGTTTGCTAAATTATAATGTGATCTTAGGACTAAAATATTCCTATGTATTTTTTGATTGCTAGAGTGTAATGTGATCTGTAATATGATCTTAGAGCTAAAACTTTCCTGTGTATTTTCTAATTTCTAGGGTGTAATGTGATCTATATGTGATCTCTGTGTTAGCAAGAGAGGGAGTATGTTATAAGTTTGGAGAGAAGGTATTGCCCTTTTCTTTTAGAGGGAAAAAATAAAAGATTTAGCGGAAACTTTTCATTCTTTTAGCCTCTTATTCTAAAGATAGCCGTGTCTTTAACTTTGTACCAATATGTAATTATCAGAAAGGCATCACATGCTTTCAAAATTTTCATAATTTGTAAAGCTGTGTGAATATGTCAATAGTAACATATATTTTAGATAACTGCTGCACACTATTTTTGATGAAAATACAAAGTTTTAATGATATAAATTTTACATTTTTAGCATTTACTTTGTATATTTATACATTTAGAATAACATCCTATGAAATTTCCTTCTAAAATAAGATCAGAATAAATAGTATTATTTGTACTATATTTTTTAAATTATGGAGTTAATTTTCAGAAATTATATTATTATTAATATTTGATAAAAAATCATAAATAATTATACTAATATGCATTATTTTGCTATAAAAATCAATGCCCAAAAGGTTTGCAGATTTCATGCTCTACATGAGCAGTGGTTTCACTCCTTAACCACCACCACCTCCCTTCTAAGGTGTGCAAAAAAATTTTTTTCTTTTGATTAATTTCACATTTACTAAGCTCAAAGGTACTCATTATCATTTAATTTCACTAAAGACTGAAGAATTTTCAATGTGCCCTTTAAAGAATTAAATTAACAGTTTCTGCTTGCTTTGTCGTGATGCAGTTCTGCTGATTGATCGCACTGTGTGTAAAGAAAAAGTATTTCATATTTGAAAATTGGGTATAAAATATATTTCTGATAATATGTGGAGTTAATCTTAACATTTTTCTCCACTCTCTTTATTTTTAATTTACCATTACATGAAAAACCAGCAACAATCATTAATCTCTTGGAAAAACTTTAGGTTACTTGAACCATGTTTTAAGATATTTTTCTCCTCTTTGATGGTAATGAATGGATCTCTTTTTATTGCAGTCATTTAAGTGCATCCAAGATTCGTTTACTGTGACAACATTTTTCCATTTTTGGTCCAGCTAAATGTTTCTGATAAAGAATTCTGCTGGACGTTCTGTGTTTGGCGATATGTCGTGGAGACAGACGACACACATTATGTTTTTTTTTCCCTTTTTAAGATTCAAATCAGCATTAACCACTTTGTTTACAGTTGACACTGAGCATTTAAATGATTTTTCAGCGGTCATTTGATTTGGTGGATTTTCTTTTAACATTTTAAAGATGTTACTTTTGCAACATTTGAAACATTCTGCCCTCTTTGTTTTTGACAACAGTTCCTATCATTACTTTAGATATATATATAAAAATGGCTTTCACAGTGTTTTTTTAATAACTAGATACAAATAATTTTCTTCGGAAAGAACACAAACATAGCCTTTCATCTATTGCTTCTTTAAAAGTGACATTTTGCATGAAAACAAAACTGTCAAATAGCAGATAATAATTTATACTTTAAAAATATAGTTGCAGTTAAAAAAAATTCCAAATGGAAGATTTTCTTTTACAGCAAAGATAAAAAGCCCTAAAAATGTGCGAACTAAAATCCTTGTCTAAAAAATGTCCGAACAGCCTCTGTAGAAGCTTTCCTTCCCTATTCAGGATTTTTCCAGTATTAAAGTGTAAAAAAAAAAAAAAAAAAAAAATAAAAGGAAATGAGTCAGCAAGCATAAAATGCATAATATGTAATTAATTTTTAATATATTTTATGCCATATTCACTTCATAAATAGTTCAAAAGCATGAATCATATTCAGTCAATTTAGAGTTTAGAGAAATGGTATAGCCGAGCTATGTGGAAAACTTTGTTTTCCCATGAGATCTTTCCATCATTTATATTTCAATACTGGCAGCTGTGGATGCATGGATGATTCATGGAGTATTTATGTATGTATGCCATTAATTGAGGTTTACAGTTTGTTTTTCAATAAATTTATGAGACTCAGAAAATTTCTTTCATTATTGAAAAATATTCTAATGAATATTTATTCATTGAGCTGATCTCTGTGTTAGTTTACACAAACATTATTGATGGTGTATTTGGGATTCTTGTTTTACGTATTATATTTCATATAAATTGTTTCTTCATTATTTATTACTGTAATTCCATTACTGAAATCGAGTTTCTTTTTTTTTTTTAACTGTGGTCCTGAAAAAGTATTGCATCATAAAAGAGTGTGTGAGGGGGATAGAGGAAATTTGAAATTCAGAATTTTCCAGTAAAGGATAAATTTAGTATTCATCTTTGCTTAAAAACCTAGTTTTATGTTTTTTTAATTGTTTAAATAATTAATTATGTAAGCTTTTTTTCTTTGTATGATGTATGATAAAATTTTTAGAGAAATGATTTTGTCTTTTTGAACTTACTCTAGACTGCACTTGGTGAATTTGATTTCCTTGGATCTGAGTTATACCCGCCTAATACTGTCAAGAAAGATTGCTATCCTATGAATGATGTTGGATTAGATCGGTATACCCACAGCTCTAATATTAAGGAGTGCCTTACTGAATCTGATTTAATTGTGAATAATCGAATACGTCACTCTCCAACACCTGAGCCATTAGTGGAAATGCCAGATGAACAAGGAAATCTGGTAACTCAGCTTCCTCCTCCAGTTCAGGAAGCTGAAAAGTATGCAAATGATTGTTTTCTTTCAGCACTTAAAAATTTGAAATTTAAGTCTTTTAATGTATTTCATAAAATAAAGTGATAAGTTTAGTAATAAGTGATTGTTTGTTTAAACTTCCACTTCATGGATATTCTAATGTTCTAATTGTCATACATGAGTTTAGAATTAGAACAGTCCTATATGTGTATGAGTATAATTGGTTATAATTAACAAATTTCTAGATATTTTATATGAAATCTTAAGCATAGTGCTGAAGGGGGCAAGCCTACCAAACCCGCTGTAGATGTCAAGAAATAAAAGTCATTTGAAAAATTTTATAGCATTACTATGAGCTCAAAGATCTAGATGTTTTTTAAGAGTGCTTTATAAAGTTTCTTTATTATTAATAAAGAACAAAATGTTTCTCGAAATCAAATGATAACTCAAATCTAATCATTTATACCAGTGGTTCTAAACCTTTTGTCTAACACGTAGCACCTAAACAAAAATTGAAAACCTTTAGTACCAACACTGCAAATACTACTACCACCACCAATCTTGAACAAAGCTCAGATCGCATAAATTTATGAGTGTTAAAGAAAATCAGGATGTTGGTGTTTTAATTTTTGAATTTAAAAGTTAAAAATACTTTGCTTCTTTGCTATTTTTCTCTTGCGTACCATCAATGGTAAGCGTACCACCGGTTGAGAACCCCTGATCTATGCTATTAAAATCTGTGCGTATTTGTCTGTTTGTTTGTGATCAACAACGCAACTCCCCCGGAATGGCGAGGGAGTTGCGTTTTGAGAGAGGTACCTTCCAAAAATTCATAGGAAGCCGTTTTGACCATTCTCATTTTCGAACGACTTTAATCAGCTGAGATATTAGTTGAAAACTCTAATTTTTACAAGCAGGAAATAAAAATCTGCTTTATTTCGAAAAGTGTTGCTAATGCTCGCTTTCAAATCATAGAGTTTGCTAATAAAACATTTGTAAGTTTTACAAAATATGAAATAAAAATAGCATTGCCAAACATTAAATATATTCTTATTATATAAGGCATATTCTGACATTGAAGAAAGTATGCAATTGCATGTGCTGTCATTGTGTGTCGAAAAGTTTTCGCTAATGGTTAGCATTTTAAATAAATAGCTGCTGTTAACACTTTTTTGTTTCAAGTTATGATAATTCACTTAATATGTTATTGCCACATATTAATTCTTTTATTGATATTGAGAAGAATTTGTTATATTACATTAAATCAAGATTTCATATGTATACGTATTAACCTGATGTGTATAAAAAGGTTTTCTATCCTGGTTTGGCAACAAAATATTATTTACGGATTGTTTTTTGTTTGGAAAGAATGAATTGATTTCATTCATATTGAAATGTTTTTATACATTCTTTTTTCAGGTGTAACTAGAACTTATAAATTTTGCTTTGGCAGCAGCACGCTGATCTGGTGGGATTGCATGCTAGCATTTTGCAGGAAAAATGCCAAAAAGCAAAATTCCAATAATTGTTCAAAAAAATGACAAATAACAAAGATGATATTTTAATTTCTTTAATAAATAAAATTTTATGATACATGTTTTATACATTTATTAAGGAAACTGATGAGTGGAAAACATTTAAACAGTTTTTATAGAAATTTAAATATATTTCAATATTTATAATAATCTTTATTGGTTCTGATAATTAATTATTTATTGGCATCATGATAAAAACAGCAGAAAGCATTTGTTGTATTACACATGGTATTCTTAAGGTCTTTTTTACAACATGTGATAAGTTCTGTTACTAAGGAATGTAGTATGTTTTCAGAAACTGATATTCAATTTGGTGTTGAAATAGCAAACCATGAATTTTATTGGTATCTGGTTGTAACGGAAGTTCTTTGCCAAAAAGCATTCTTAATAAAGTTAGGGTGAAAAAAAACTTTTCAAAGCCTTCAACCCAGAAAATTGGCAGCCACGAGTCCAAAAACAGATCAACCTCATTTCGAATGTCCTGTGCAAAATGGAAGATGACGCCAGCAAGATGTAGCTGCAGGTGTGAAAAGAGGTAGAAGTCCAAAGGAGCAACATAGGGGCTGTATGGTGGGTGTGGCAAAATATCCATAAAGAGTCCAGCCAGTTGCATTATCTTGATAGAAAATTACCTTTTTGTGCCGGAACTCAGTTAAAAATTTTTCCTTGATAGCAGCATCTCGCTGTACACCTTACTGTCGAGAGTTTTACCTTTTTCCAGATACTCTTTGTAGATAATACCATGGCAGTCCCACCAAAAACAAAGCGTTATCTTTTTGGTAGTCAAATTGCGCTTTGCAATGCTGCTGAGATGCTCACTGGGAGCAGACCAACCTCCTTTCCGGCCAGTGTTGTTAAAGTAAATCCACTTTACATCACAAGTGACAATCTGGTCTAGAATTTTGTCCTTGCGTTGATATTCGAGTAGATTGGTGCAGGTCTGAACACATCTGTGTTTATCTGTTTGAGTCCGCTCATGATTTGCGATTTAACTTGTACGCCATATTTATGCAATTCACAACACGACTAATGATATGGCATTAACATCTAACTCTTTAGCAAGCTCTCGAATGGTTGCATACTGATTTTCTTCCACAAGTTCTCACAGGCAGGCTTCATCAACATCAGTAGGCCTGCCAGAGCGCTCTGCGTCTTGAATTCATAATCCTTGTTTTTGAAATTTAGGGACCAAATCCTCACAGTGACGTATGATGCTACTTTAGTACCTAAAGCTGTACACATGATTTCGTGGCATCCTGTTAATATTATGAATTCAAATTTATTTAATTATGCTTTTGTTTCCGTGTGCAATGTATTTTTTTTTATTTGTCTCTTTTGGCAACATTCAACTGTAGTTTAGAAAACCCTGTTCTAAAGAAACTGAAATGTAGTGTTACCACTTGTCTTCACTACACATTCTGTACAAGGTAATAAATGCTTTTCTGGTTGTATAATCTGAAATAAATTAAGCTGTAATATGCTTTGCATTCCTGATTGAATAATACTGTAACAGGTTATGGGCCCAGTATAACATTATCTACGTTATAAGAAATTTTATTGCTTAGCCTAACCGTGCGAGTTCCTCAGAAGTGAAAACGAGTTTCATTATAATCGTGGAAGTATTTGGTACAGAAAAACTTTTTGAATTGCAAATTTGGAGACAAGCAGTGGAAGAGGATGGTTGAAGGTTTACTTATAGAAAAAGAAGGAGCTTTCGAAGTGTGTTCTGGGGAAGTAGTCAAACCAGAGCCGGTTGCCGAAGGTGCTCCCCTTGAAGTCTGGAATAAGTACAACCGAGAATTAACCAAGTTTGACAAGGGTAAAAGAGCTGCTCGTGGAATTTCTCGCAACATTATACTCAACAATTTGTGATTTAGTTTCCATGTGCAAAACAGAAAGAGAAATATGGATGAAGCTGCATGAATTGTTTGAACAGAAAAATAAGCAAGCAAGTATGCATGCCAATTGCAGTTTTCATCATTTATGCTTTATCCTACAGATACAATGGCCATCAATATAGCAAAACTAGAATGTCTGGAGTCACGAATGCACGATTTAGAAATTAAACCAAAAGACTTTGTTATTATAAGCAAACTGTTAGAAACTCTCTCTAATGAATTTGAGCCACTAAAAATTGCTTGGTGTGCAAGGCCGGAAGAACAGCAAACACTGCCGGAAATGAAGGGACTGCTAATTTCAGAAGATCAGAGAAGGATGTCAATGGCATGTAGGGACAGTAAACTTGTTGCATTAATGGCTAAATGTACTGTTGGAAAAACTCCAAGCACTCAAAACATTTTCAAGAAAAAATAGGCCTGTTAACAAACAGAGAAAACAGTATAAATGTTTTAAATGTAGCAAAAAGGGTCACTTTAAAAGAAACTGTAAATCCCAGAAAAATAATTGCACGACAATCAATCATGATGGAAAAGTCTAACTGTGGAGAAGCTTTTATTAGTGAGAGTCTCATTGTGACTGATAATAATGCATGGGTAATGGACACTGGAGCTACTCAGCATATTACAAACAAAATTGACTGGTTTCAATCATATACAGTCAAAAGTCTTTAATCTGGACTCGTCGGGACTTCGGCGATTCCGGATTATCGGTTTTTCCGCATTATAGATCATCAATTTAAATCTGATAAGATGGCATGCAGAAATTATAAAATTAAAAATATGAAACTGTAATTTATGAAATAAAGAGAAATTATGATCTAAAGGGTATCAAAATTTACCCCCCCCCCCAAAAAAAAAAAAAAAAAAAAGCTTAATATTTATTTGTTTACTTTATTAAACATTTCTTTCAATGCGCGCATGCATAAAGCATACATTACGCATAGCCAAAATTAGAAAATTGCAACCAGAAAACTATGTGATGTGTATTCGTGATAATGACAAGGAATTTGATTTAAATCATATCAAAGACGGAGTACATCGAGATGAAATACTACATTTAGTAAGGAATTATAAGCCAAATAAAATAAAACCATCTGCCCTGAAGATAAGGATAATGCTGACAGATCAACTTCCAGTTCATTGCCGCAATGTTTCCTCCCACCCCCGCAGAGCAGTGTGAAATTGATAAACAGATTTCGGAATGGTTAGGAAAACAAAGATATGCTTTTATCCATTTTTCGTTTGATGGACATCGAAACATGCTTTCGCTTTGTAGATCCTTTGGCAGCTCCAGAATCGGAAATTCTTTTTGACATAATCGAAAGTTCAAGCTTACTTTTATAAAATTGCTCTAACAATCTGCAAAATATAATAAGCCGGATCCAATTCAAAGATTAAGGAACAACGCAATCTGCAACATTAACTGAAATAGATAATTTTAGCTTAGCTTATGCTATTAGTTATACATTAAACGCACATGCGTAAAAGTATTATGCGCATGTGTAAATGTATATGCGCATGTGCAGAAAGTTTGTAGCTTCAAGGTCCGGATTATAGATCATTCCGGATTATGGATGTCTGAATTAACGACTT